GTTTTCACAAAACAGATTTGGTCAGCTGGCTGAGCACTGGACTCGAAGACGATATAAGAATAACCGACGGTTCAAATTCTGGCCAACTCGTTCGGTTTTTAACCTTCTACAGCGCGAAAGTGACCATTATGTGAAGAAAATGCAAATTATGCTATGTTCTCTCTAAATACGTCAAAATGTTACTCCCGTAAGGAAAATTTTAAGTCGAGACCATAAAGTCCACCAAACGAACTATGACAAATAGAGCTTATTATGAAAATGTAAGGGTGATGGACATACAAGAATTACAAGCTGTTCTTTCCTTCCACAATTTGAAACTGAAATGCCAGCATCATTGTATCAGTGTATAGCTCACGATACAAGTTTAAGAAGAATTTGGATGAGGAGGATGTAGTTTACCAGAATAAGTTTTAAAAAAAATGTCTGATTTTGAGAGAGAGAGCGGATTCTGAGGATTTAACATCCAGAAACTTAGACATCTACAAGATTTGCAGCACCCTGCTCCTGTGCGGTTCTTCAAAACCTGCAAAGGCGAGAAGTAAAGTGTTTCTACGAATGCATTCGCTTTACCTCTTGATGACTATAGTCCAACTGAAGTCCCTCCTTTCGCAGGTTGTTTTCGAAGATTCGTCGTCGCCGTCGAACGACTGCATCCGTCTTACCCGTTTTCTCAGTGTACACCAAAACATAGTCGATCTTCTTCTGCGCTTCTTCTTTATTTTCCGATAGCAGTTCCTAGAAACTTCGTAGTAAATCTCAAGACGAGCATAGTATTAATTAAGCTTAAAAAGCGCGTTGCTATAAGCATGTAGAAAATTCACTGACATGAAGAAATACGAAAAACTTTTTATAAGCACATACGGCTCTTCAAATTATAGATAATTGCACAATAGCCATCATTCATACGTTTCTCCTCATAAGTTTCTGAAATGAGCGTTCTTTGCCCTTCTGGGTATCACAGAACTTTCGACAGAAAGCGAATAACTGGATGATGGTATTGCTCAGCTCAATCAAGTAGTGCTTCGCAGATGTTCTCTATGTCATCGCACCGAGGAGTTACTATGATGAAAATAAGTGTAGGCGTGACTTAGGTCATTTAACAGCAAGTTTTTCACTGGCCACGCTGGAAATTAATTTCATTACTTCTTTTTCATCGATATCTCTCATGTGAACAGTCAAGAGAATAGCTTTCTTAAAGATCTTATTGCCTTCGCCGCCCCATTGTCAACTCAGAGAGGGATCAGCTAGTACAAAGTATTGCACGTCATTACCGTGACAGTATTTCGATGAATGCAGCAGTGAAACTTTCAGCCATGTTATGGCTTTCGCAAATTTTGAGTACTGGCTAACTTTCATTACAGTTAAGGCCAAAAAGATTGCTGAATATATTACCGACATTTTCGGAAGAACGAGCGTCGGTGTCAAATAAGCAAGTAGCATATAAGCCGATATGATCAGGTATGACCCGAAACGACAAAGTAAGCAGTGGGTAGGTAAGTAAGTAAGTAAGAATGAATATATGAAAGTACGTAAGTAGCTAAGTAAGGGAGCAGGTAATGAATGAAGCAGCAAAGTAATTACGCTGGAATGTAAACGACTATAATAAGTAGCAAAAAGTACTAAAGCAAGTAAGCAGCTAGATCATCAAACGAACGAGTAGGAAAGAACACGAGTAATCAAAGTAAGTAAAGTAAACAAGTAAACAAATATGTAAAAAAGCGTCGGAAAAATAAAGTACGTCAGCAGGAGAACACAACGTAAATAAAAAACGTTTACGTAAGTAGACGTGTAAATAAAAAAATTTAACGATACGTGGGTCTAGGCATCAATTACAGCCAAAGTTTATTGCCTTATGCAATTCGCCTTCAGCACATAGAGAATTCGCAGCTAACCGGAAATGCGCCAAAGTTTTAAAAATGAATACATTTAAGCTTTCAGATACTTCATATTAAATAATAGCTAAGCGTTAGCCGTTTACAGAGGAACGGTAGATAAAAAGACTAGTAGCCAACCAAGATGGATCGAAACCGAAATTTAACGTCCTCGGTGTTCAGTTTCAGAGTTTCTGTCACTCATCCTGATTCCATGCAACGTCATAAATAAAGTTAGTATGTTTCTTTGAAACAAAACTCAATTCAAAAAACAGCAAGCAAACATCCTGGGTGGTAGTGAGTAGGGCTTAACCACGAGGAAAACCGTTCTTGTATGATCGAAGCGCTGATAATAAATTTTTGCATCTGTTCTTCGATCAGATTACCGCCCAAAACCACAGCATCAAAAAACATGGCAAATTTATTAAAAATATGACACAGAATTAAGATGAGTCCAAGATATCGGTTGACGAAACTTCAGATTTCGTACCGCACTGGATCCACCTTCAGGGGACATAAGAAACAAACAGTCTATAACGATATGGAAACAGTGTTATAATTGTTTTTGAAAACTATTTGCGATTTATGTCATATAAGGGAGTTAGCAGAATCCAGACTAACTTCTGTCTGACCCCTGAAACCGAAGCTGTGGAAAAGGTCTGAGAATATCAGTATCTTTGGAGCACATTTACTGCAGAGAGGTGAAGCGCTACGTGTTTGCATTAGTAAGCAGCAAGTTATTCAAGCTCTGAAAGAACCAAGACTGCGGACACAGAAGCCTTGCAGTCAGCACATTTTACTCCACAGTTTGGACACCGCAGTACTTGAGAAAGCTGAAAGCAGAAAACTGGAAGTGATGGAAATGAAGACATTAAGATCAACTTTAGGAGTGAAGTGATATGACCTGGTGTTAAATGCTGTTGAACGCGAGAGATTAGAACACTCATCTAAAAGGACGGACTTACCGCAAACACGGCCTTTAAGACAATGGGGTTATTGTCAACGAATGGACATGAATGATAGCCGCCTAACGAAGCGAATCCTGAGTTCCAAGCCTGATGGCAAGCGGCCGTCAAAAATACCTCCAGCAAAATGAGATCACGTTAGAACTGACATGACATCTCAAGATTTGAAGAGTCAAAACGCACAAATTCTATCTAGAATGAATACTTGTACATCATCTGGCATCGTTTTCAATGTAATGAAAAAGAATTTTTTCATGCGCATTTAAGTAATTAATTGCTTAATTACTTGCTCTCATAGTTAGTACGAACAATAGACCATCTTAGACAAAAGTATTAAAAGTTTAATAATAACCATAATTTCCGCTTCCGAAGATCGCTGCACCCCGTCGACAGGAACTAAAATAATAATAAAATTAAAAGGGCGGAATCAATAACTTCGGTTAATAAAGCAGTGACGCAGTGATTAGTATTGCGTTATATATTTCTCCTGTCATTTTTCCAGATTTAGCCGAATAAGTCGTGCAAATCTGCAGAAATGACAGTAGTTGTAGTTTGTTGTTCTTAACCAGCAATATGTCGAATAAATCTAATCAAACAACGGCAACAAATAAACAACACAAAAAAATTAATATGAAGCTAACATTGTCACAAATCATCCTTCTCGAGCAAACACACGCTGAAGCAACGATGAATTACAAACAGTGCACACGAAAAGCTGACGTAACGCTATTCTGCTGAAGATTCACGGCATTAGTTACATATACTTTCACAACATCAACGCTCAAGAGAAACGAAAAAATACACCTCCTCGCAACCACTGTCCAAACCTCATATAAAGAAAGCAGAGATCTCATTTACTTAATCTTCTATTTGCAATTTGTGCATAAACGAAACGCTGACTCAAATTCGAATTTAATCGGTTACCTTGAAAACTTCAGAACTGTCAACAAGCCTAAAAACCGACAAAGACTCGCCAAGGACATTATCTTTCAGTAGTCCAGTGCTTTGAAATTTGAACCTCAATCAATTCATCTAATCCAGATCTAAAATCTGCTCTTTTGCACTAGCAACATTCGTTTGTGAGTCGTCATGTCACTTTGTTGTGATGGATCAGAATAAATTCTGAACTCCCTCAATCTCGAAGCTGTTTATAGGTTAGCCTTGACCCCTTCATTGTTTTCTGCATTCACAAGCGACTTTAGGATCAACGTTCATTACCTTTACTTGAAATCTGCAATCATAATAAAAAGGAAGCCAAAAATATCTTAATGAGAAATAAGCATGGAGCAAAAGATCGACCAGTGGACTGTCATAGTAACAGTTATAACTCTTCTTCTCCTTAACTATGCATCAAAAAAACAGATCAAAATAACTAGTTCTGATTCTTCTGCTCCATTTGCTAAATCTTCCTCTTCTCATTCGTCGTCTTACGCATTTCCCAATTTTTTGTCTCTTCTGCCATTTACTTTCATTCTTCGTCTTCTTCCTCCAGATTTTTCATTCTTCTTTAGATTAATATTCCATTGAATGATTATGCAATGAATTAACATCACAATGAATACCACTTTTCCACATATGAAAATTAATCATATAACGGGGTCATAAAAAAGAACACATATAATCACAGATTCAAAATACGAAAAAGAATAAAATAAAAATCGAATGAGACCATAAAAAGATGATATAAACGATAGAGTAAACATGCATGAAAACGAGAACGCGAATCATTGTTCCACCGTGCATTATCAAATAGTGCTGTTTACCAGTCTCAGGACGGCCGAGAGCGACTGCTGAGATGAATAAATGACCGTTAAAAGAGCTACGACCTTACACGAATGTTGACAAATTGCAACCTCTCAAAAGTATGGTGGCTTAAACACTTTGTAGGCTGTCATAAAACGAATGTGAAATGCATTCCAGAGTATCATTTTCCATAAGATCTCTATGCGCAATCGACGGTCTTAATTTTTCACTCTTCTTTGTATTCTGTTTCTGCCACTTCTTTTGCCTTTCTTTCATTCTCTTCCGTTCTTTTTCTCCTTCTCTCCTTCTTATATATTTTTTTCTTCACCAGCTTAAAGCTTCTTCTTAGTATTCTGCCACCTTAATATTCAGCAACCA